TGCTACACATATAAGAGATGCATCAATCTAGATAAGCTCATAAGTAAGGAATTACCATTGAAGAGACCATTCAAAAACAACATTCTCAGACCCCATGACAGACAATGCTTTTGTGGACAATACTTTTGTTTTTGATTGTACTTTTTGCTGGATTAGGTATGGCGACTGTTGCCTTGCCAGCTCTTCTTCAATGTTATCTATTAATAAGAAATTTAAATTTTTTGCTAGATACAGCCATGCTTCTCCAATTGCAACAAGATTTGGTTGTTGTAGCTTGTAGACATGAGCTCTAAATGGTGTCTACTTTAGAGTGCTCTCAAGTAAGTTCCAGACATGCTCTTAATGATAGACAGAGGCAACTATCATATATGCAAAAATCAATGTCAAAGTGCATTGAGATAGAGATCAATTATTGTTTCACTTGCAATCACAACCACTTAAGTGGCAACTACTTGCAATTTGCAAAAAAGACGAAGTAATTGGAGGGCAAAAAAGATTTTGAAGTGCACCAAGAGAAAATTAAAAGAAGGCCAAAATACAAACATTTTTTTGGTGCAATGTAAGTTGCCAAACTTTATCAATTTGATTCCATAAAATAATTCCACTTAAATCTAAATGCTTAAAACCTCATTGTTCATTTTAAACTTGGAGGCTTAGTCTCTCATGAAGATCTAAAAAATGATTCATATATTAAGTCAAGCACATCAATTGACTCATTGATAAGGAATACACATTGGGTGAGGATCGTATGTATAAGTATTGGAGTTGTGATAAAAAGCTTGTTTTTTATACCATTCTTGTCATCATCCATTATGAACTTGCAATCCATGCTTGTGTTTTGTGTTTTGTGTTTTGCTCAAAGAAATATTGATTAAGCTTTATAGTATTGCTATGATGATGCTGAGTGAATTATCATGTCTTGGAATTTTAGATCCTAAATATATATCTATTATAAAACAAGGTGAAGGATCTTAGGGGAGAGAATAGGACCTTTACTAGGTGTTGTATATGATTCCAACAACACAGTCACTATTATAGCTGAAAAAACTTGTTGTTTAATATATTGTCTTCTTTGGCAATCATACTCTTCATTTTGTGATTGTGTTGCTCTTTTGAACAATATTGAGCAATATGCTTAGCTTTTCTATAATATAAGTACAAATTCTCTTTATGATATTGAATTACCATGTCATGGAATAATTGATCAGGACACTTGCTCCATTTTTTCTACTACATATAAAGCATCCAAAGCATATAGAAACCATCAAAAATTGTATTAAAAGACATGTTTTTATATAACCATGAAACCAAAAAAAAACTTATAGAATTGAAATGGTTGAGATATAATCCAAAAGAAGCAAAGAAGTCAAACGAACTCATATTCTTTATTGCTTCTAGTTTGCAAACTTGCAAATAATGGAAAAAATCAAGAATTATTTCAATATTTAACTTTGCTTCCTCTTGATTAAGCTTTTGTTTCTTTTCAATAATTCCCAAGGTTTCTTACAAATTCATACATAACAACAATATCACACCACCATTAATCATTGAAACAAAAATCGAGTGCCAACTATGAGAAAGGTATAAAGAAAAAAGGTTTTTTTTATCAAAAGATTTTCATTACTTACACTATACAACTTCCGTCGCACATAGCAGCAAGTAGATTTCTACTTATAATACATTGTTGATCAAGAACCATAGTTTTGTTAAAGGTGTGTGAACTTAAAACAATATTGAGTTTTTTGATGAAAACCAAGAAGGGTGTATACGGTGAATGAAAGCCACCACTTGTCTCTTTGAGCTTAATATATAGATTCTTAGTATATAGATTCTTAATATATAGATGCAAAGTTCTGTAAAACAACTTATAAAACAACCTACGAACTCTATAAAACATCTTGTAAAACAACCCATGAACTCTGTAAAACGACTTGTGAACTCTAGAGAAGGTGAACTTCTTTGATGAAAATAAAGACCCATCCATGCAACCATTGAGAATCACTACTTGTTTCCTTGAGCAATCTTAATATATAAATGCTGTAAATACACTCTTTTCATTATAAACATATACAAACCTTATATTAAAATTTTAGGTATATATTTTTATTTTTATTTTTATAATTTTTCATATTGAAGGTTTTTTTTACTAAAAACTTGTAATTTGATATTCTTAAAGTGTTCTATTAACATACATTTTTTGTTTCATGTTTAGTATGAAAATGATAATATTATACTTTATAATGAATTTAAGCTAACTTTGGATCACCTTCATAATTCTTTGTACTATTCTCCAAATATCAATCTCATTATTTAACACTTTTTATTGTTTACAAAATTTTACAATTTTTTAGTTTATAAGAACATATGTTGGAGACAACATTTGTGTCATTGTTTTATTTAACATAAAATTGAACAAAAATTATTGTATTATTATAGTTACAAGAATAAATTTTCATATTTATATCAGAACCATGTGAAGCAAAATAAAAAGACCACATTTCTTATAACATTCTACAAACTTTTGTAATTTTCATGGCCCAATTTCATTAAATAAAACATAGTAGTACATTTTTGTTTATAAACCAACTATGCATTGATCTACAATAAACTTGTGGCACTTGTAATTAATAAATGATAAAAAAAAATCACCCCAAAAATATATTTGTGGTTTTTTTGTGCTAGAATTGATTAATTATCATTAGTAATTCAAGCCACAATGTGGAGTTGTTTGCAAGTATACTATTAATGAGGGTCCAATAGTGCAGTGATATATGTTATATCATATGGAAATGTCAATGAAAAATATGAGGTGACAAATGTAATATTGAATCATATATATATATATATCAATGCATGCACATCCATCTGTCCATCCACCCACCAACCCACCCATTGTTGAAACAAATTTATTTTCATAAAAAGATGCACCAAATGGAACCAATTTGGAACCATTGTGACTTCCACCATTCACTCATGACAGTTACACATGAAAGGCTAAGTCAACCTTTGAGATTTTCCACTTTTTAATCCCTTAATAACTTCTTCAAATTAAAACTAAGAACACTTGATAATCATTCAAAATGCTCCACCTTCAACTACCTCTTTTGTTTGAATAGTTATCTTTCTTGCAGTCTTACCTGCAGTGCATCTTTTTTAGGGCCCAGATGCACAAAGCTTCAATTTAAGGTCACAATTTTACAGGTGTGCCCATATCCATATCCCCACACAGTCTTATCTATTCATAAAGGTAACTCAAACATATCAGTGAACTCCCATGTTCCTTTTCCAATGAACCCAATTCAATTATTTTTCAAAGCAATGCAAAAAGGTGGCCTACAATGGTCAAGTTGAGGGCCAGTTCCCCCTGCACTCAATAGACACTAAAGCCCTCAAACGAATGTAGGCATGGCACCCATTAATTTTTCCTTTGCCCCAAGGATACCATTCTTTTTTAGTTGCATCACAAGATGCAAAGCCAAAAAAATTCCTTAGTTCTCCCACATCCAATTGGGACCTGCTTCCCACCTCTCAGTACAACACCCATCTCTCTACAACACCCTTTCTCATACAACTACACCCATTATTGTTTTACATTATGCATCTACACTCTCATTATGTGACAGTGAGATGTGAGGCAGTGCTGATACAGTGCAGAAATTGACTCCTTGCAACACTCATTATAAGTTATATTTATTAAGGATGGGGTGGTACCTCAGGAGTTAGCCAGCATGGGAAAGTCCCTGGGTCCATTAGTAGTCAGGAACTGGAACATTCTCTTGTCTTGTTCACTTCCACTGACAATACACACAAATGGTTGAGAGATTGTACCTCAAATGAAAGTAGTGCATTTTAAGGCCCTTTGAAACCTGTTTGGTTTTTTTTCTTCATTTTCCACAAAATTTGATCTCAGATTGCAGTGATGTAGATATTTGATGGCATTCAAAGGGGTTTCATGAAACACACCTGCACTAAAAAAGAAAAAATGAAAAGGATAGACAGAGATTCTCATCTAACTTTGTCTGCTGCGACCATGAAGGGTGTCCTGTCAATGTAAAGATTATTGCACTAAGAGAGGCCTCCAACATTCCCCACTCTCTAAAAAGGTAAGCTGCACCATAGTGATGTTTGAACAATCAAAGGTCTATTATACCCTCATGTCAAGGTCCACCACCACACTGAATAATACAAAGGCTCTAGGAGGAGCTCACACTACATTCGTTGTTTCCCCAGAAAGCAACATCCAGGGCAAATGTTGTTGGTGTTTGAAAAGACTACATCAGACTGCAGAAATTTTGTCTGACCTTCAGAAAAGGTTGCAAAATATAAATCATGAAATTCAAATCAGACACAGACAGATATAGTTGAGTTTGCCAGCCCTAGATTAATGGTTTTTTTTTTTTTTTTTTTTTTTTTGTCTTCCAGAGCCAGTAAAATATTCAAGGGAAATAAAATCCATAGCACTGATTCCATGGAAGTTTCCACATATATCATGGATTTTGAATGCTGCTTGGACATAATCTAAGCCTACAGCCAAATCAATAATGGTGTATTGTCTTTCTAAACACATGTCTAACTAATAATGAGAAAAAAGGAAAAAAACAAACACCAACTGTACTTGACGGGACAGTGTACTAAGCCAAATGTTGATTTGGTGCCACTAATGGAATGCAACATGAGGGTAACAACTTATCATGATCTCAAATACTTGTGAAAAGATAGAAGCTGTGCAAATTGAACATACAACCAAATAAAGATTTGAGAACTTCAATGCATAGTCACATCATGTACATATGGTATATAAACCATTTAATGTAAAAAAGCACCAGATCCAACCATGTCTACCATATAGACACATGCACCCACAGCAGAAAAGGTTTCCATTTTTCAACATCTAATTCTCCACAGGTCCTAACAGCTTCATATGTATGAAAGATTACCTTCACAGAGCTGCATGTTTCCTCCTTCAACATCTACAATTTACACTCCTGTAACTCATCACATGTAAAACCTGGCCAATTTATTTGGAGTTGGAGATGGTCAATCAAATGCGTCAAGCAGCCCCAGCATGTTTTTGAGAAGCTAAATTACATCTTATTAATCAGTGTATATCAAACAGACTACTAACATATAACGTAAACAAGCTGTTGTATCATAGATGATATATTCAGCCTCCGTCTGAAGGCATATGTTCATGTACACCTACAGATGCAATATCCAGTGAAACGCTACAGAGGATACGTAAAGAGGAGTCTGTTGCAGACATGTCAAGATTTTATCTAATGAAGGTCGATCCCACAAATATTGATGCATTTGAGCACGGAATCAGAACTGAGCTTACATGAAATCCCCGAAGACATTCAGCCATTGTTCCCTGCGGTCAAGTTTGAGTCGCATCCTAGTGAATGTCTAAACGATATAGCGATAAACACACTTAAAGCCCTCGAGTTCAGCGAACATCAACGATTGGAAACAAGAGATGCTTGTAAACTCCAAATTCCACCTCAGACGACGACCGCCGATTCAGCATTAAGAGCTGATGCAGGAGTAGAGACTGTTTTTGAAGTGCCGGGAAGCACTTTATACGGATTCAAGATGCCTTTAGGATCTAGGAGAGCCTTGAACCTCTCCATAAGCGCTATCTGAAAATTGTAAAATTCAATACCAACGCCCATAAAAAATTAAAAAATAAAAAGGTCATATAATATAAACACTAGCAAAATTAAAAACTGATTAGTGGTTGTTCACAAATGCAGCAACGTTCCAAGTTGGTTGAAGTCTTTTTAGCTATTAGGTGAAACAAATGATCGTACACGCATTTGCGTCAGGCCAATTCATGAACGTGATTAACTCTAAATAAAGAGACGTCGCAAATCTAGTTGAGGAGATGTAAAAATTGTTAAACAATCAAGGCAGGTTTGATCTTTTCAATCCTATTTTGGGCATGTAGTTACCCCAGACCCCAATAAATGCATCACGAAGGTATAAATTTCAGATGTTCTATCAATTGAAATTTGTGAGCGTTCAGCGCTGCTTCCTGCAACAAAGGATATTTTGCACCAAATAAGACGACCAAAAATTGCTCGGTTTAGAAAAGACTTACAGCTTCAGCCGACTTGCTGTAGTGAAGCGCATGAGGCTTCATCAAACCCAGTCCATGTTCCGCACTCACGCTACCCTTGTGTTTGGCGACCCATTCAAATACATATGGTTCAACTTTCTCCAGTAGCTGAATTGCAGATTCAAACCGTAAATCAGCAAACAACTTTATTGTTAAACATGGTCATAAAATGTGCATCAAACAACTTCTTTCAACAAGCAAAGTGAGCCAAACGCAACAAGAATCAACTGGGATGAACACCCGCACCTCGTCTTTGTATTCGCGAGCTGAAACATTTAAGTGCACATTGCCATCTCCCAAGTGGCCATACCCGACCACCACCGCATCAGATCCTGGTGAGCGAGAAAATTTGTTACTAGTTTCCATTAGAGTAGTTAGACCACTGACGGATCCCAGGACAAACGACACACAAGGAAGCACTCTCACCAAGTCGGTCTCGAAGATCTTCTACAATCTTGTAAAAGTGTTCTGGAGATAGTGAGAAGTCGTATTTATACACAGCACCAGCCTTTCCAAGTGCTTCTGATATTCCCTGAACTTCAATCAAGTGAAAGATGTTGAGAGCAGTGCACAATAGGGTAATAAACCAGATGAGGGATACGATTTCATCTGAAGATGCGGGGACTTCCATGCTACTCATCGAGGTCTTCGGCAAGATTCAGCAAAATGCAAGTAGTTGACGTCATGGTTAATCAGCCATAAACTGACCTCTCTTATTTGCCAGAAAGAGGCTGCCTGAGTGCTGTCTTGCGCAACAACGCCATCCGCAACGAAACCCTTCTCCATGGTGCTCTCTAGAAATGCATCCAGCTTCTCCCTAGTTTGAAACACACATTACCACTGCTAATCAAAAAGACTCCCAACATGAAGATAGAAGCGCTATGCTGTTATTTAGTTCGGATCTAAAACGAATATATCAGCTAAACAAAGAGAATTTTCAATTCACTCGTACATTCCTCCTTTGAAAGTTCCACAAAAAGTTAATCATGTAGCTCTAAACATCCGAAACTTCACTCTCCACTGAACGGCACTTAAGCACCACTGCCATACACTGCAACATCACATGAAGAAAATTCCATACTTGTCATGGGTTTCATTACTGCCTGTTGTCTCTATCAAAAGATAAAAGTTTTTCCCAGATTGTGGCAAAGGATCTCTTGTTCCAGGCAAATGGGTCAGAGCCTGCCATCCCACAATGTATCATACTTGAGAAAAATCAATATCAGACAACCTGCAAACTAAAACTCCTCCAATCCGCCTCTATGAATCAGTGATTACAAATGTAACAATCTACCTTCATAAAATTCTTCAAAGACATCAACAAACGGGCTGCAAAGAGCTGCTACTTATGCTCATGACTTGCAGGCATGCACACTTAAAAAGGGATCCTACGAAACAGAATGTCTGATATTCAAGAAACGCTGTTTTAGTCTGAATCAGTGAGTCTAGTTTACCAGATACGCACCATGTCAAGGGCAGGACGATCTATGAATTCGAAAGCTGATAGGATTTCACCCAATTGCCGCTTTGCCTCCTTCAACACGTTCTGGAGTAAGAAAGAATAATACGGAAATCAGCAGCTGTATATCCACGTAAAACTTTGAACTGCTAACAAACTTGAAATTGAAAACGCAATAAAGAGCTTTACCTGACAGCTCGTATAGTCCTCACATGCAAAGAATGCTGTGTTGACCGACCCAAGCTTCGCAGGCACCAACAACGACACTTTAGTCACCACTCCCAAAGTTCCTTCACTCCCTACATTGCCAAGTGAACAATAATAGCCGCACAAGTTGAATACGGTAACCAAAAAATGTGTGCTCTTCAATGAGAGCTTACTATCATAAAAAGGTAGTCAAGCACTATAGTATACAAATTGGTTAAGACTCGAATGTCATAACGTTTTACAAACTTACCTATAAAGAGTTGCTTCATATCATAACCAGTGTTGTCTTTTACCAATGTCCCTAACATGTTCACCACCTCACCGTCTGCCAGAACAACCTCAAGCCCTGCAAATATTGAGCGAGGTTTAGCAATTCAAATTATTGCTCAAGTTTCACTAGATGGCATGATCTTGAAACAAGGCTCTCTGAGTACCAGTGAAAGTCAGCTTCATCTAAGTTTCTTGCAATCATAATGAAGTCGTACATAAAGCATAAAGAGAATATTTTCGTTCTTTGCAAAAGTTGATAGCGTACAATCATACCAACCGTCTCACTTAAAAAGTGACGAACTCAAAATGAGGCAAAATCTCTGATAGGAAGCTTTGGTGTACACCTTTTATCACCAATCTGTAAAGTAGTAACAAGCAAGTAGAGGTGAGAAGCTCTACCAAGAACATTTCCATGAAGAGATCCATATCGCAACAGTCGTAAGCCACCTGCGTTGGTGGATACGTTGCCCCCAATTTGACAGCTCCCCTTAGCACCCAAGTCCAAGGGCATTGTGAAGCTTCACAAAAATAAGGCACGTCAAAAGTGAGGTGGTACTAGAGAAGCAGAGAAATAGAGACGCTATTTTGTGATCCCGAAATCGAGAGCACCTCATAATAGCTAGTAACTTTTCCAGCAGCTGATTGTTACTAAGAACCAATAATGTTTTGTTTATTTTACTAAGAAAACTATCTTTAAAAACTTTTTAACAAAAAGAAAAAGAAAAAAGAAAGAAAGAAAATAGCACGTAGACAACTGCTATTCATTAAATGAAGCTTAAAATAGGCTCCATTAGGTATGGACCTTCACGCTTAAGAACGTTGTACTAATGAAATTGGTTTATCAAACAATACTCAATATGTGAATAAAGTGGTTTTGCTTCACGATCACATAAAAACTTACCCTTTGCCTCCAATAAAGTTATCAAGGTTCTCCAGAATGCAACCCGCTTCACAAACCAAGATTCCACTAACCTGCATCACGAATTGCGGTCAAATTTGAAACAAAGAACACATCATCGCACAATAAGAGATGCAAAAGCTTTGTGCTAAATGTTTGAACCAGAGACTCGTGCAATATGGAAATACTACTAAGTGCAATCTATAGAATACGAATCATCTCACCTCATCAAATTCAATAATCTTATTCATCGCTCCAAGGTTCACTATCACCTGCCAACAAACAGTTCTTACAAATGACATGTAAATGAATTGAGCGCCGGAAATGCAAAATATGGCCTCAGCAATGTCAAAGCACAGATTATATATGATTACCTCATCAAAAACTGGAACACTGCCTCCGACCAATCCAGTATTACCTCCTTGTGGGACTACTGCCAAATTCCTGGAATTGCAATAAGTAATGATCTCCGAAACCTGCCATCAAAGGCACACATTCTAACTTGATCCATCGCAACTGCTTACGAGCTACTGTAAAGGCACAGAAATAGGGCGACATTAGACGAAGCCCATTTTCCAACCAAATTGAAGCAAATCAAAAATCACAAATGCATCAGAAGTTGATGGTCACAGTCAAAACAGCCTCGATGAGGTGCAATTTAGTTTCGAAGGACTCATTTCTTGTTGGGGATTAAAATGCCGCCAAAATGATTGGGAAAATCAATCCTCTCGAACCATTGACTAAATCATTCGTGCGGAAGATATGACATTGCTACATTATTATGCAGGAGATGCAATGCAAAACAGACGGATAAATATACACTGTGAAGATCATACCTGTTGAGTAGTCTGGGGTCGAAGGAGTATCTGGCTATGACCTTGATATTTGTGCATCCAATCGGTATTTGCTGCAACTAATTCGTCTTTGTCCACTATAACGCCTTTCGCACCAACTATACTCTTAAAGTGTTCCATATCATTCGTTTTGAGACTGTCAAAGCGGCTGTTCCGGTTGACTTTTGTAGAGGTTGCAAATCTCCTGATTTGATGCTTTACATGCCTTTTAAGCAAAGAACCTATCTCTGCTTCAGGGGTCCAAAAGAATCCTTCGTTCACGGAAGCATACTCCTTGTTTAGGCAGCGGGCTGCATTTGATCACGGAAAAAACAAATGTTAAAACTTCAACATGCTTATTCTGAAGCACATCTCCAGGAAATTCATTTTACATTTCGTGTGATTCATCATTCAACTTGAGAAGGCAGATGTTCAAAGTTCAAAAAACTGCTACTATGGGGGTATCCCCGTGCAGGAAGCCATATCTTGACTACTGCGAAAGAGTATCTGAATCAGACCAATATAATTGCTTTCATAGATGTGAAACCATTCCAACCGGCAGAAAAAAAAAAAAAAAAAAAAAAAAAAAAATGAAAACCTGCAGTACCTTGCAATCCTTGATTTCAATTTTGAAGAAAGTATCACAAAGATAAGCATAATTTGAGGAACAAATGACCCTTGAAGCAGCAACCACTAAATTCATTGTAGAAATCTAAGGGAACAGCAGCAAAGATTTGACGTTGCTCTGAACCAGATTTACACAAAACATTTGGGCAGCAAATGTAAATTGTGAAATGATTTAACCTCGATTCGTACACAGTCGACGATGAGACACCAATGCATCCCGCTGCGCAGCCCTGTTTATCGAGCAATCAAAACTTAGTGGCCATGACCACCTGCCCAAGAGTCTTGCCCTAACCAATCCATCCGCAGCTCTTCTCGCGGGATGCATTGCTGAATATTCTCAAAGCCGATTCAACTTGAACGCTGAAAACAAAAAGCCGAGTTCGATCATGCGTATAGCCTGATACAGCTCAATCAAAGCGAACACCTTAAACACGTGATTGTATAAGCCTGTCACACCCCTCACCAGAAGATCACAAGCAAGGCGCAATATCAATGATCACGTGATCAAGCTCGTATTATTAGAAATCTGCAGCGAGCATTAACAGAGTTTCACTGCTACTTCACACATAGCTGGAAACTCACAATCAGCAAAATGCGAACAACGAGGAAGAACAAGACTGTGAACAAATAATTCAGAGGACAGTGATATGCATTCCGCCAGAACACTCCTATAGAGAGCGCAAATACAACACACAGAGCCAACTAAAGCTAAGCTCCAAAACATTCAATACCGCCATCACTTAGTGCAAAGCAACCGATTAAAGTAAACAGCAAATTGATGAAAATTCAGAAAAATCGATTCTCAAATCTACAATTTACAAAACCGAAGCACGCTGAGTAAAAAACACAAAACCATGCGGATGACACACGTTGAGCACATGGCCGATCAACAAACACCTCAAGCAACAAGGGAAGTTCACAACCTCGTCAAATAATCAGAAAACTCACCGCTAAAGGCGCAGGAAAGGAAATACGGTCTGCAAAATTGTGCAGCGTGTCGCGGCGCATCGACGGAAGCACGCAACCAATTCCGCTTCACGCAACGGAGTGCGACGATTGTGTCTTGGGATCCGATGCTCGCTGCAATTCGGCGCTTCCATTGATCGTAAGTGGAATCCCGCGACGCCACCTGGCGTGGTGGTGATTCAGCTGAGACGAAGATGCCGCTTCTCTCGGCTGATCGCCGGGTCTCGTCATGGTAGGTTCTTCTGAATCAGAGTATATACCGGTGTATGTGTACCACCACACGGGTCCGGATATATATAGGCATTTAGGGTATCCGAGTATCAATTATGTAATGCCAGATCTTGGTCGCTCAGGTTATCAATTGTCAACGAGCTTAAACATATCCTCGCACTACCTCTCATGGTTATGTTTGCCAATAAAAGTAAATAAAAACAATTTTAATGTTGTTGTGCGAAGTGATAATATGCAACAAGTTCAATTGTAAAGTTGGACAATAATAATGAGATCAAACTGCTGTTTCAGTTTAACAGTTACAATTTGCTCTCTGTTTCAATCTCCAAAATAAAATAAAACTAGATAAATATGTGTCATTGTGATGGAGAGTGTGACTCAAATGAAGCATTTTTTGAGCCAAAGAATATTTTTCAAATACAAATACAATACAATATAAATAGAAAGAAGTAAAATACACAATAGAGCTTTCAGCTACAAAGTAGAATAGGTAAATCCATGCCATTATCACAAATAATATGCAAAAAAAAGTAGTTAATTTTGTTCAAGAAACTACTTGTGAAAATATCTTTAAAAATATATACTAAAAATCATAAAATTATGTTGAAATTCAAAGATATACTTAAGTCAATAAATTAATTAATTAAAATATAAAATACTAAAAATAAATTATTAATATTTATCTAATTAAAACTTATGGAAAAATAATATTTAGTGTGGAATTTAAATTGTTGTTTTGAGGAAGAAGAATTTTGATAGAATGGAAGGAAGTGCATCAAGAGAATACTACATAAAGTTGACTATGAGAAAAAATAGGTTGTAGTAGATCCAAACCAATATGCTTCATTGATTGTCATTGAAATTTATTTAATATTATTGCAAATGCAATGTGGATTGAAATTACTTTTTTTTTTAGAATGAATAGAAGTTCTTTTTTTGTAGAAGTTAATATAATTTCTAAAATAAACACCAAGTTTTCAACAAATTTTCCTCTAAGAATTCTTGCTTCAAGAACTCAATGCATTAATTATATAATTATTAATTGCATTCCATTGTAAAGTCCTTGTAGAGGAGCAATATTTCTTACTAGCATCATTGGAATGTCAATCTTAAGACAAAGCCTTGATCTAGGCATTCTTCATGAATTAAGCGACTTAATGAATTTTACTAGATAAACATTATTACTATCAACACCATCTTCTATAACAACTTCATTGATGCTTAGATATTCTTGTTCTTCCCTAGAGATATGGCCATAATCTTCTGAATAATATCTTCTATATCATCATTCTATGCAAATAAAATGATTCTATTTCTAAAGAAGGCATCATTTGCTATACCATCTTCTATCAGCCTTCAATAAATAACATCAATTAAAAATATTAATTATTGATTAACAATCATGTGATCAAGAAGCATAACTATATTATTGGAAAATAAGTTTGTATTGTTTCTAATCTAGGAAGTGACAAATAAAAATATTAGTCAATAATAATGTAACCATAAAGAATTCAAATGCACCACTATTAATATATACAACATGTGTATATTCTATATATGAAGAAGCTAATTAGCAAACTTGACATCTACTTGAAGTTCTCATGAATTCAATCTCATGTTTTTTTTAATGTATGGATTTTTATTTTAGGCCAAAGTATTGAACATCAAAAAGATGTTGTTACAATTTCTTTTTAAATTTCTTTCATAATCACTAGCAATATTTGATAAAAATCTCCACCAAAAACTATTATAGCTTTTCCAAATAGGAAATTAATATTTCAAATGTCTTTAAAAGAAGAATTAACTATCTCAAGATAATAATGATGTTGAATTAGAAGTTCATCCTAAATAATAAGTAAAATTTGGCAAATAAACTTAGCATGGTCAAAATTCTTAGTAATTAAATAAAAAAGCCTTCATTATAATCTAATAGAATTTTGAATGTAAAATGGACAATTCTTCTTCTTCCAAGTTGTTAAGGACATGAACTAAAAGAAGATGTATAAACTTGGAAAATCTGTGTGAAAAGAAAAGTGACAAAATAAAAATAAAGAAGTTTATATTTTAAAAGGAAATTAGAATGGCTATTGCCAAATGAAAAAGAAACTAGATATTCTTAAATCTAAACTAGAAGCAAGAAAAGAATTGATAAGAGTGAAGAAGGCTTTATTCTTGCCTCTATATATACTATCTAATTAAGAGCTATATGGCGATGTTCTATAAGACTTCTAATATGTGTTGACTTTGTAAGATACATGCTATAGCTTTCAAGGCAAGTTTTTTACATGTGGGCGATATAGTTAGCTTATTCTTCAAGCTACTAACATGTGTAGCACATGGCCAACTTGTTGACCACGTTTCTAATCTAAAAAGTCAATTAAAGACACATATAAAGTCAAAGCAGTGTCTTTGAAGCTTCTAAAAAGCTTCTAGGAAGCTTTTATGAAGCTTCTATAGAAGATATTATAGAATTGACCTACTTTTATCTACTATTATTTAATTCATATAATTAATTATTAGTTTACATGTGTATATCCATGACATTATCTCTTCTTCTAGAGACGAGTTCCATGAGGAGAGATCTTCATATGTTGAAGAAATCCAAGATGCGACAAATTATATTCGCCACATACTCCAATCTTTGTTCTCTTCAAAGATAGTTGATAGGCCTTCTCAGCCATCGATAGTGTCTCATATTAAGGTGGAAAGACCACCTTTTTATTTGGTCATTGTTGAGGCCTTCGTAACTTCTTTCAAATAAAACATTTGGAACACCATCAGCAATTGTTTCTACCTCTAATAAGATTACCAAACATTGGGAGTCTCTCCCAAGGTCATTATATCAAACACGTTGTATCTCATCACCTATTTAAGGAAAGACATGTCGTTCTTGAGGATCTTTATCTCAATTTTATCATCTTCAAGGTTATGACAATTACAATGTCTCATTTGATAAGTTCGTAAAAGAAAGCTCTTGAGTTGAATCTATCGGTTGTTAGTTTTCCATCTCTTCAACATTACAAATATGTAGAAGTTACAAAAAAAGATAAAAGATAGAATATAATCTTCTTTATACCTTATTTTTTTTATAGCAAAGACTTATTATTCTTCATTTTGATTTAGATGGATGTTGTTGATGAAAAGCTTCCATCACCTTTACTAAATTTGCAAGATTCTTTATTGGCTCCCATGTACATTCACTAATATCATATCCGCACTAATGGATAAAATATTCTAATTTATTTTGGCATTGCCTTGAATTTACAACTTCTTCTACTTCAAATTCTTCATTATTTTCTACTTTTATAGGAAGAAGTTGAACTTATCTTTTTCTTCCTATATTTATAGTCTTGTATGATTCAAAAAGAGATACATGAAAGATAAGATGGATCTTTATTGCCTCCAATAGATGTAACCAATAAGCAAGTGGATTGATTTGTCTACAAATAAAAAAAGGTCTAAGCCTCCAATAGTCCAACTTATCACAAACACGAGTAGTCTTGATATTACAATGAAGTAACTATACCTTGTTACCTAGATTGAATTGTGATTGTTTCTTTTGATAGGCATCCGCATTGATTTTTTGTTGTTCTTGAACTTCCTTTAATTGCACCTTCATTATTGCATATAGCTTTGACAAATGATTTGCCAAACTTTCTACTTCAGAATTATCAACTTTTGAAAAGTGAAAAGTATCATGTCGTAGATGATAACCATAATTAGCAAAGAAAGGTATTTGTTTCTTAGAAGAATGCATTGTATTATTATAAGCAAACTTTGCTAATCGAAAGAGGATTCTCCAATCATTTTATTGATAATTGATGGTAAATCTTGAATATTACTCTAAAACTCGATTTATAATTTGGTTTATAATTTGATTTATAAACTTGGTTTATAATCAACAGACACCTTTCATCAGTTTGAGGATGAAAGATCAAAAAAAGCTTTATGTCCATCTTGAAAATCTTAAAAAGAGTTCTCCAAAATCTTGAAATAAATTGAATTCACATATCTAATATAATATCTTTTGGCAATCCATGATATCGATAGATATTATCAAGAAAAAGCTTGGTAGTTTCTTCACGTATGATTGATTTTGTACATGGTACAAAATGTGCCATTTTGGTAAAATAATCTACTATCACAAATATAAAATCATATGATCCTGAGACTGAAAGATCCGTAATAAAATCTATAGAAATAAAAAACCATGGTTGTTCTGGAATAGGTAATGGTTGAAGAAGTCCATAAGGTCGATGACGAGGAGTTTTTGACCTTGAATAAATGTCACACAATTGAACAAAGTCTTTTATCGTCTTCCACATTTGCGGCCACTAAAAATCTATAGATATTAGCTCTAAAGACTTATTATATCCAAAATAACATACTGCTAGAAAGTTGTGACGTGCTTGAAGAACACATAAACATGCTTCTCCATCTGTCATATATAGGCATCCTTCGAATTAAAGAAGGTTATTTTTGAATTCAAACTTAGAAGTATCTTAAGACTTAGAAGAAGTATTCTTGATATCATGAATAAGAGGATTAGAGGACGTACTTGATTGAATTTGTTTGAAAAAAGTTGAATCAGCAATCAATATTGATTTCACTAGTTGAAGATGAAATCATTCTAGCTTCAATAAAATTATCTTTTGTTAATCAAAAGCTGCATCTCCTTCTTTAGGGACAAGATAAGAACATTTGAAAAGGGCATCAAACAAATCTTGTTGTTTTTTTGACTGATAAGTGATATTGAATTCAAATCTTCATAAAGACATACTCTAATAAGCTTGGCAATGATTCAAAATATGAGCTAACATGAAATACTCGAGGTTCTTGTGATTTGTATATATGGTAATTAGATTGGAAGTACCTTCTAGATAATGATGCTATTTTTAAAAAGAATC